TTCCTCCTGCCTATTTCTTCCATTTGGTGATTTCAGGCAAAAAGGTGGTTAGTGTGTGTTATTGCTACCCTTTCCAGTTTAAAGACGGCTTTGTCTCACCTGTTTTCCGCTCGGACCATGTCTTCTAGTTGTTCAGATAAGGTAGGTAGGTCAGCCTTTAGGTCAGTAAGAGTTGCTGCGGGAGTGTTTTTGATGACGGCTGCTATATAATTCATGTCAGCAATAGTCAGATGTTGTTTGGAATGGCTTTGGCACATTACTCTCCATCTTTTGGCTGTGAAGAGGTGAATTGGAGCAGAGATAGACTGCAATTTAGTCAGAGCTCCCTCACACCATGTCCATCCCCATAGTGTGCCAGGACAAACACACACCTATCCCTGAATATTTTATACCATAGCAATTAGCAGTAAATAGTTGTTACAAGATTTCTCAAAAAATGTCTGTAACAACAACAGCAAATGTAACTGACACCTGTTCAGGCAGAAAAATGTTGAGAAGCAGGAGATTAGTATACTGCCAAAGGAGTGAAACCAGACCATCAAAACCATTGGGTTCGCTTCACTTAATGGAAACCTGTCATTTGAGAAACCTGTAAGCTTGAAGGCTGTCATTGTTGACCTGTGAAATGTTTTTGGCTGTTATACTGAACCAATCATTTTGAACTCAATGCTATGTTAATAACTTTAACTTTCCTGATCTACATACTTGTTCTAACTTGTGATTTTGTAATTACTAAAGCCAGTGGGTTACCATAGCAGCCAGGAATCTGGTATTTTCATAAAAAGGCCAATAATAGCTGCCCACATATTTCTTTCATGACAGGAACCCAATGGTTCTCATTGCCCAATTCCAGTCACCAATGAAGGACATTACTTCAAGGATTAAAGATTATTCACTTAACAAAGTGGATGTTCACTTGTCTTAGTAAACAGGGTGAAGCTGTGTTGATGGTGAATACCCAATTATGTGCAGGAGAATTTAAAAAACAAACAAAACAAGACTGATGAGTAAGTGAAAAATCTTCACTCTTCTAGTAAATCCACCCCAAAGTGTTGAATACGAACACATGGAAATGGTATGCATGTAATTATTAGTTATTGCTCTGTTCACCTAAAAGTCACCGGGAAAGCAAAGTTCTGATCCTGTGAGCTCTGCACAACTAACAAAAGGCAGAACTTATGTATATGTTGTGCCATTTAAAATTAGAAAAAAAAAAACGGTTCTGCTCTTCAACATGGTATTACATGCAAAAATGACTACCAATCTGTAATCCCTTCCATCATTCTCCATCCTCACCAATTTAGGTGGTCCATATGCTATTTCATGGATCTGTTGATGGAAATCACTTTGACCAAGATGCTGCAGTACCTGAATGGACAAAGTGACAGTACCTCTACTGTAGGACAACAGAGTGTCATTAGAAGTGTATTATATGAGATGATGCAGTTTTTCACAAGTGTTGCCCTTTTTTTGCATGTGATATTTTAGACCACTGCTAGAATATACTATACATAGAGGGCAGTATGCTGTCTGCTTTATATACAGGACTACTTTTTCTCTATACAGACCTTGACACAAGAGAATGAAGAAATGGTTTCATACGCCTTAAACTAAATAAGCAGCTTTCTGTCTCTTCTCAGTTTCTCCTGGAACACACTTCTAACTACAGTTCTCTTGCAGAATTTAGCTACAAATGTCCAGAGGTATCCAGAAGAGGGAAGCGTGGAAGATGGGACGCTGCGTTCGTCGGTGGATCTAGGGATCAGGTGAGTATTAAAATATATATATATATATATGTTTTATTTTATGTTCCCATGGACATTTAAAAATGTCCCTTGATTTTATTTTAACAGAGTTGTTAACTTACCCTAGACAAAAAGGAGGGTAACAGTGTTTTAACAGAGAGAAAAGATACACAAACATATAAGATGATTTGAGGCCTGGAGATGTTGGCTCCCCCTCTTAACTGGTTGTCTCTGATAGTGACTTTCTTCTCCTAACTACTACCCCACTTATGGAGGATGTAGGGGAGGTGTTGTATGTATTTGCAGGTTCCACAAGTCATGACATACCGATTATGCTACTATTTTTGTAGCATATTTTGGGTTACCTCTTGGCCCACACTCTCTTTCTCTTCTCTACCTCCCTTTCTATCTTCTCCACCTTTTCAATCCTTTCTTTGCCCTTCTTAAGGGCCTTTTTTAGGTTCCCCCTCCCTCTCTCTCCTCTTCTCCCCCTTACCATTCCTTTCTCTCCCTGACTGACACTGATATCTTATTTGTCTATAGCACTTTACCACACTCTGCGGCACCTTCCTGATTTCCCCAGGGTAGCAAGACATGTCTTGTGCACTAGTCATTGTTACTTTTGTGTGCCATTTATTGTTCATCAAAATGTGAGTAGGTAATTGTTAGAGTATGTGCATTCCATTTACTATTAAAAAATGTTTTTACACCAGGAGTGGGCGCTGTCCCCTCTTTTCTTGTTTTGCTTGGATTGTGAGGATACTTCCCAGTGTCCTCGAGGACGGCAGCCCCCTCCTGTTTCCTTGATGTGAAGGGACATCTTATTGAGGGCTGTGTGGTTTATTTTCATTTTGACCACCAGTTCAAAGATGACCTATATATTACCTTGTTCAGGTTGTATTTAATGCTATACACAATGAGGGGAATTTCTCAAAACTGGAGCAGACAAAATCTGGAGCAGTTGTGCATGGTAACCAATCAATTTCTCTCTTCAGTTTGCTCAGGTAAGATTTGAAAATGGGACAGAGAAGCTGATTGGTTGCAGTGCAAATATGCTCCAGATTTTGTCTGCTCCGGTCTTGATATATTCCTTTCACTGTATCTTTATTATTGTTTCATGATTTTCTTATTGTACCGTTCATAAAATGTTGATAAAGCACTTTGAATTAAAAAGAAAAACCCAACTCTAAAGCATGTTAGTAAATATGATTGAAAAATGGGGAGTAATAGAACAAATATGCAATCAAAAGGTAAATCTATGCAACCTCCATATTGACTAGCAAGGGACCTGTGTGATTTACAGAGACTCTGGGACAGTTAGCTTGGAACAGGGGAAAAAAAGAGAATAGAACAGAGGTTATCACATTATATGTTCCGTATCAGTCAGTCCCAGAGCCTGCACAAATATTTTGTCCTTATTAAAACAATCAGTTTGCACCTTATAGGACCCCTGCTGATGTCACCTAGTCATTGAAGGAGAGAACTACCTAGCTCAATCATTACCAGCTTTCAGCAATCTGATCTATTAATAATGGCAGACAGGAAATTGTGAAACTAGAAAATGCTGTCATTTTCCTAGTAACAGCAAATAGAATACGAGAATCTTACGTATACGGCAGAAAACAAATATATCAAGTGGAATTAGTTTAGTATGAACATTATGTACTATCAAAATTATTAACGCGTATCTAAACCCCAAGTGCAAACATTTTACATATTGCAGCTTGCCAATCCTTAAAGGAGAATTATGGGGTTAAGGCTTTTCCCCATAGTTCTCCATCCAAAGATGGAAATGTTGCTGTTCCACAGAGTGGAGCCACCCCAAAGACAGGAAGCATGTTACTGGCGAGATAACCAGGTGAAAATAAAGGGAGGGAAAAAAAACTAATGCAGCCAACCCATTTAAGGATTGGTAAATTGCAATATTTTAACTTTATGGTTATAGGTTTAAATACGCTTTAAAGAGTAAGTAAGTAACAGTAAGTTTTCCAAGTAAATTTGGGAAAATGGAAGTTAGTACACTCGTACCAACAGAGGGGAAGGAGCGTTCGCGGTTGGAGAGAGGGGGCCAGATTTGAGTGGGTAATTATATTTTCCCAAATTCACTTTACGCCAAACTACAGCATTTTTTTTTAGAATTTAGGGTAGAGTGGGAAAGAATGCAAACATTTGTCAGGAATTATTTCTGCATGTGACCTCACTTGGGAAGATTTTCACTTTTTGTCCTTGTGATGCCCATACAAAGAAAGGGGAGTGAAGATATCACCAGGACATAAAGGCACGGGCAGCAATACAAACTCTTTCAGAACACTGCTGTACACCTGACAGAAGAATGAGAAGTTAACATTCTCTATTCCTTTTGTAAATCAACCCCAATGATTTGTAATAGAGATTCTGATCCATCTTTGTAGGGCTGGAACTGATCACATTGCATGGTCCAAGCATCAACCTTTATATGCTTTTACTGGGCAGAGAATTCAGAAGCTAGTTAGTCAGATAAATGTGCTTCATTTACTTGGTTCTTAAGATTTGAAGAGTCCTGATTTGAAGCTGAACTCCAGGCAGATATAAAAAGCACAAATAATTGCAGCTCTGTATTAATGAATACATCACTCAATGTTATATTTTTAATAAATAATACAGGTACAGTGCAAGTACCTGAATCTTATAGGGTATCTTGCAGTCTACTGTACATCAGAGCTCAGAGAGTGGGAGGGAGAAGCAGCGTAAGGAGCCAATCGAGTGTGCTGCAGTGCAATGAGCATGCTGATAGGAAGATAGAGCAGAGTGATGAGCTCATCAGTGTGTTGTTTCTGTCTTTCACTTTCCAGTCACAGGGTAAGGGTGTGGAGAAGACCTGTACGTAAAAGTGAAACTGCAGCAAAGAAAGACCAGGTTCGTTCCATATCAGGCAGGGCTGTGCTGGGTGGCAAACCTGTGCAAATCTCCGATCTGGATGGATGGAAATACAAATCTTTTGGCAGGTAAAACAGCTCTTATTTATGTATTTCATCAATGTATATAGCTGTTTGCCTGGGGATTAGATTTACATGTATATTATCCTAAATAGGCAATTATTTAATATCCAGCTTTAGAATACATAATGTCCTATATGGCAAGCACAATGTATGTATAACATAACATGTATAATCAGGTCATTACCAGATGAAGAGAAATTACATAAACAATAGGCATACATAAATCTGCAAAATTTCCTTCATGCAGGCAGTTATTCGGTGGCCACATATTTCCTACCTGTATGTGATGTATACTTGGGTGCCTGGTTCATCCCTTTCCCAGATTAATGCAACTCTGTCTGGACACTGATGGACATGCTTGTCTAGGCAATTCACTATGGGGGAGAACACAGATATTGGCTTTATTATCATACAATATATTATTTAAAACAGAGAAAAATGTTTAAAAAAAAGAAACACTTTAGAAATATAAAGCAATTCCTAACATTTGCGATTCTGCTTGTATTTTCTTCAAAATATTATGATCAGCCTACCAGGGTAATCCAGTAAACTCTTATGAATTTTTGATAATAGATAAATGACAGGGGTGTTGGGATATTTAATTTGTAAGCGTTCCCTTTCCTTTTTATTAGGGATGCACCGACACTAGTATCGGTGCCGAGTATTTGGGCGAGTACTTGTTTGGTCAGGAAGCCAGCTCCATGCTGCCTCGTCACTAAGGGGCTTCGCGGCTGATCAGAAAGCCGAGGGGCAGGTAATGACTCACCGCCCGGCATCCTGATTGGTTGGAAAAGCTGGCCACTCAGGAAGCCACGTGGCAAGTCATTACCCACCCCCATCTTCTTGATTGACCAGAAAGCCGCTTCCATGCTCCCTCATCACCTGGTGTAATGTAATGACTCGCCTCCCGGCTTCCTGATTGGTCGGGAAGCTGGCCAATCACTAAGCCGGGTGGCAAGTCATTACCCGCCAGAAAGCTGACTCCATGTTTTCTCGTCACCAAGTGACAAGGGAGCATGGAGCTGACGAATCAGGAAGTCAGACAGCGAGTCATTACCCGCCCCCCGGGTTCCTGATTGGCAGAAAGCTGGCTCCATGCTTCCTTGTCACCTGGTGATGAGGGAGCATGGAGACGGCTTTCCAGCTAATCAGGAAGCCAGGTGGTGAGTCATTGCACACCGCCAGGCTTCCTTAATGGGGCAACCAAAATTAAGATAGGGGCTACTGCCCCCCCCTCCTCCCCCCCCACTGACAATAATCTCGACTGTGATATTTACATAAGAATGGGTGGCGGTATTTAAATAGGAATAAGACGCAAATCGTTCTCCACAAAAAAATGTCAGCGCGTCGCTAGAGTGTTCGGGTTTGGTTTGAAGAAAATGTGGCAACCCTAACCGCCACACAGACAGAAATAAAAATAAGTTCCTTTAGTATAGCAGGAAAGACTAGAGCCCTGGTCAGATTTTCATTTCTGCCTGTGTTCCTGTTGCAGATTTTCCATACCTTCCTGTCTGGTGAATCCATTGTCAGCAGGACAGTAAGGGAAGGTAAATCTTTCTAACAGAGCCCCGAATAGTAGTTATACCTTGACAAGGGTTTTAAATATTATTATTATTATTATTATACAGGATTTATACAGTATAGCGCCAACAATTTGTGCAACACTTTACAATATAAGGAAGACATTACAATCACAATACAATCCATTTACAATTTACAAATTACAATACAATTTTAATCCATCCCCATTCCATTTAAGACTAGAAAACAGTTTGGGCTTGACATAAACTTTGATGTCCCTAACCTGTATTGAACAAGGATTGACCATCTTTCTTCCATCCTCAGGACAGAATCGGTGGCTCTCTGTGCCATTCAATCACTCTCAGCAGGTGAATAGTACCTGCCTGTGTAAACGCCAGCTGTCATCCGTATTTAAGTTAGCTCTCACTAGTTATATCCCAACGTGGTGCACATTGGGATATGCAATAACTGACAAAGAACACATCTGGTCTAATTCATGGCCATAAACACTATAATCCTCACTTGAATAGGTGCACCTGGCCACAACATGTGTAAAGTAAGTAGGTAGAAGCACTTGAATGCACATACATTGCACTGTATAAATGCCCCTGGTGATTATGGAAGTATGTCATGTATTCTGACTACAAAGTATTACACAGAAGATGTAGCTTAGCTGCTATTGGATTTCCACTCTAAATATTTTTGCTGGGATTTGGCTACCTACCAGTTCTTCTGTATTGAGGAAAAGTTGTATTAATACCAGACTGGCATTTAACAATCATCTGGGAACTTTTCCTGTACATTTTTGGGGGAACAAGCTTTTGAAAGTTTTTTGCTTTTTATCTGGTTAAAATAAACCTTTCAAGAGGAATATGTACGCAGCCATTGTTGACTTTCTTCTGAAAATGCTGGTTGAATGACTCTTTTGCTAACCTCAAAACTTTCAATAGTTTCAATACTTCTAAATTTCTTGCAGCACTGAAAAGACAAAAGTCCTTGTCAATATGCTTATTCTGGGCCAGTGATTCAGAGTAAGTATTTGTCAAAAGCCAGGAATTTAGCATATTCAAAAGAATTATGGGAAGGGAAGCATGCTTTTCTCTTGCCAGGTCTCCTTTAAGTTAGGTTTCTGGTTCGAACTGATAAAGAGCACAGATTTCTCAAAATCCTGTCCTGGAAAATGGATAATAAAAGACTCAGATGTTTCTTTTGAGACTTTCCATTCATTGAGTCACTATAAAAAAATATGTACTGTATATGGTATACTACCGCAGAGACTGGAAATAGTGTTCTGCTGTCCCTATCCATTTAGTTATCACTTGACATGAGGGCTGTCTTTATTATTGATTGGACCCTGGGCCCCCCCCCGCCCCTACCCGCCACACCCTGCTACGCCCCTACCTGCCACACGCTGCCACGCCCCAGCCATGCAATTGCACTCTCCACCCCAACATAGCAAATAGGAGGAGATGTCAGAGGAAGATGTGACCGCAAATGAGACGTGACCCCACGTGAGACCTCACGTTATGTTAAAGACAACCCTGCTTGAAATGCCACAAGCACAGGAGTTTAAAATATACCTAAAAAAGTCAATGTGGTCGTTAGTGACTGCAAATGCTTTGTAAGTTCCAGTCCCATGGCCATCCAATGATTTCCACTTAAGTAAATTCACTATAAAATAGAGAAGCTTCCTGCATTAAACACTGTGACTAATGACAAGCCTGTCTAACAATAAATATGTCTGTTCATATAATGTATGTCATATTTACTAGAAGTGCCTACTTACATAGAATTTATTTTTGCAGTTACGGTCTGAGTGAGAAACGATCAGATGTCTCTATGCAACCCCAGCTTACCAGATATCCTGTGGCCAAGCCTTCTTGGAGGGAGAATTGATTGGCCAGTTTGGATTTTTCCCAGTTATTGTTTGACCCAGGGCAGGTTGACATTAGGGATGCCTGCTGATTTTTCACCTCCTCAAGAGTCACAAACATGAATATTCCACCAATTAGAACATGTATGTTTGCAGAACAACCTTTCAAAGAGACAGGAAATGGCCAGGGGCGCACACACCATTGGTGCAGTAACTACACCAGGATCCACAATGGATCTAACATTTATGGAGCCCATAAACAAGAGATGCGGGTCAGGTGGGTGCTCCAGAAGACCTGAATATTGCTCACTTCTAGGGCAGATGTGAAGCGGAAGATGGTTTACTTAGGTGCCCGCATTTTATTCTTGTGTACAATTTGGTTGTTTAGCTTTGAGTATGTATTCACTATATCCTCAACCAGATGTTCAGTAATGATTTTGAATGCAATTTTGACCCTTCCTGAATTTCAAGCTTCTCAGTCTCATCTTCTAACTTAGGTGTCTATATTTTTTTATTGAACCCTCAAAGACTGCATGCCAGTAATGCACACGTAATCTTTTTACTTTGTTACAACAAGCCTGTGCTGCTAATGCCAAGCTAAATGCTAAATTAATGAAGGGAGACAGATTATGAGAAAATTACTGAATTTATTCACCCTTGAGAAGAGGTTATTAAGGATCCCCTTTTATAAATACAAAAATTGTTCCCATGGTAAACTAAGTTGGAAGTTGAAAGTTGTTTACCTGACTTTGGGTATCAGCGGAAAACGTTTTCCCTCTTGAAGAAAATTGTACCCTAGTTCAAAAGGGCTTATTTGCCTTTACTGTATCAACTGCAGGTTAAGGTTTTGTTTTTTTTCAAATCAATGTTAAATTGTATTTCCAGGCCAAAATCAAAATCATTATTTTGCAAAGTATCCCAAACATATGCATCTTCCTAATATGTCCAATTGTAAATGCCAAAGTAATTGTTAACGCAGTATTGGTGATCCTGCTGTTTACCTCCTTATCACCTAATTTCCAGTGCAAGACCCACAACACAATTCAGCCACTTCTGAAATGTCTAATCCCCTAAATTCTGTTGATATCTGGAAACCTTTCCACCAGTGCGGCTCCCAATAGCGTACATGACACTGTTTTGTGCCTAGCAGAAAGTGAACTAACATTAATATAGAGACCATTTGGATGTTTTTACTTTTATGTGATTCTTTTTACCCTATGTAGCAATGGACTAATCACAGCAGATAGCAGCTCTGTATTCCCCTTTCAGAATACTTTTTACAACTCACAACTTCCTTCTATAAAACATTTTTCTTTCTACCATTGATGTGTAGATACTCCATCATATGCTTCGTTTTAATGAAATGTTAATCCCCTTGCTATTATACACATTGCAGCTTAAAGCAGTAAAAGCCTGAAAAGATATATCAGCCTCAAGGTGAGAGGGGACATCAATGTGTGCTGTCTATGCTTGTCTATCCTGAATAGCAAGCATTTATCTGATAAAAGGTGAACCTGCTTGGTTCAGCATTTTAAACAGAAACACTCTTCAAAAGTTTGTTTTACAAGTGAACTTGTCACAAGAAAGGCTTGAAAGCAGCCATTTGCTGACCTCTCCTTCAAAATGTCCCATTGGCTTGGCTGTCATGTTGACCGTCTTGCTTTAAAACGTACTGCGCCGAAGCAATAAGACAAATAAGGACTTCTGATTTTTCTCTGACTTTTCTGTCAAGGTCTGTATATCCACATTTTGTGGGCACCCCATCACACTGCACTAACTCTGTTCCATCTATTTAATATTATTTCAAAGTTTTATTAGTTTCCATCTTATACAAAAAAACAGTTTGTTACATTCAAGTATCATATGTAGCACAGTTACATATCAGATAAGCCTATGGTCTCACCACTGTATCCCCTCTCCCCCCCTTGACTCTAATTCATGCCATTAGGATCCCATTGGCTACAATCATTCTGACCAATG